TTCGCAAATCCATTAATTTTCGTATTTTTTTATTTGGCTGAAAGTTTTCAGAAACGTCCCTCATGACCAAAAATGCCATTGGCGAATCAAAGCAAAGCTAAAGTTGGTCATGCGACGTCTAGTTTTTAGACCCGCAATTACAAAAATGATGATGTAATAAAATAAAATTTCATGCAATTTGAAAGATATCAAAACGTTATTACCATTTTCACCCACTCGCCATCTGTGAGATAATCGTCACATTGATTTTTCAATTTTGCATCTTCAGATCACCATTTTATATCAAGCCTTAATTTTCAAAAGGGGCCTATAGAAAAATGTTAAGCTTATCTTTAGAAAACTGTTGCTCGAAAAATGTTTGTCCAATGAGTTAGGTAGTTTGGAAAATGTTGTACGGAACATCGGGAACAACTTGAAGAAAAAAAATTGTACTCTAAAAAAAATCACTAATTTTTTTTATTTAAAATAAAAACTTAAAAATTGTTTGTATTGTTTTTATTTTTTTAAATGTTTTAGAGCATAATGAATGCTACCTATTACATTAAAGGTCAAGATGGAAAAATGATGGACACAAAAGTTATGATTTTTGAAAAAAAACTCAAGTTTTTGGAAAAATTATTTGTTCGACTTAATGTATTGAAAGTACATCAAATTTACAATAAAAAAACCTCTTACATCATTTTTGCTAAGTTGCACCGTTTTCGAGATGTTGGTTTTTAATGTTGGTAGTTTTTGGGTATTTTCGAATGTATTTCGCTTCTTAAGTACCAACAATATTGTTTTCTGAAAGATCAGAAAGATTTTGGTCATGAGGAACGATTCTGGAACTTTTCAGCCAAATAAAAAAATCAGAATATTAATGGATTTGCGAATTCGTCTGGAATCGCTCTGATGTCAGTTAAACAGTGCCGATCAGAGCACCTCGGTCCAAGGTAGTATTTTATTTTATTCGTGATGTTCAAGAAACACCACCTTCATTTGTTAAAATTTACTGAAATCGAAATCTGAAACTCTTATTTTCGTACAGTGTTGCCAAATATGTTTAATACCCGTTTGAAAACTTGAAACGATTTTTTCTCAAAATGAATGTATTTCAATTTTCTATTTGATGGCACCATCGTGTTCCCTTCCCCTGAACATTTTAACAGGGTTGACTCACTTAAATATTTGATTTTATTCAAGCATTTCTTTTATAATAATTTCCTTTCATAGAGTTCATCTCGGAATTCTTATAAAATAAAATAAATTTTAAATTATCTCTGGGAGTCACTGGAAAATTTGATTATTCAAGTCCAGAAATTCTCTGCAGAACACTCCAAAAAATTCTCAAAATTCATCCTTAGATTCTATTTTAATTGAAAACTTTTTCTAATAATTAACTAAAGCGTCAATTGTATTTAATTCGATTGAATCCTCTTTCGAATTCCCATGTAATTCAGCTCAGAATTCTCAAACAACAATTCAAAAGGGCCTATCAGCTTTTGGAAACTAAACTTGCAATTCGCTTTTCGCCCGAACATAAGCTCGCCTATGCAAACCAACAACACCATCGGACAGGAGCAATACTGCCGTCGAGAATTGTCTTCAAATTTGGCTGTTGGCGTTCTTCTCTAAATTCTTTTTAAAATTCATCTGGAAATTCTTTTCGAGATGTACTTTACAGAATTCCTGTGGAATTGTACCGTCGAAACCAGGTATTTTTCATGCCTTTCCAGATTTAGGGACCATGCAGTAATTACGTAAGAAGAAATTTTGAGATTTTTCATTCCTAGCTCCTCCTTCGTAAGATCTTTGCATGTTCTGTATTTTTCATGTTATTTTTCATGTTTACGTAAGGTATTTCTGAGATTCCCACCCTCCCTTGTAAGAAAATGTAAGATAATTTCTCTTCATTTTCTTACGTTATTATTATATGGTCCCTTAGCTGAATTTACTGCAAAAGTCATGTTCGATGCTTATTAGGATCATGGAATTAGTACTCCAAAATATAAATCTCTAGAAGGAAATCGAGCTGTAGTATAGACTGTTCCGTAAATTATAAATATACTTTCCCAGTGAATTAAATAAAACTAGGGTAAAGTTTTAGGACATTTTATTATCAAATGATGTTTATTATCATGTTTTCTTTCACACATAATTTGCAGGATTTTATTGAGAGTAGTCGAGTTTTTTTTTTTTTATTTTCCATTGACTTTGCAGCTTTTGCACAGTACCTTCGCCTACCGTTTTTACCACTTTAGATCAATCTTTCTCGAATTTTTCAACTGTATCCGCTGGCTTAACATGTTTCCTAATCTTTGTCTTTGTCAAAGCCCAGAAAGTTTATATAGGGCGAGCCTCAGGCCAATTTGGCGGATTCATCTCTTTTGGTTCATATGTGACTTTATAATTCTTGTACAACTCTAGCGAATCTTTTGAATAGTGGCAGGAAGCAATATCAGCTCAAAAGATTAAAGGTTTGTCATGTTGCCTAATGAAGGGTAGTAATCTGTTTTGCAGACATTCCTTCACGTAAACTTTACCATTCATTGTGTCTGTCGTTATAAGAGAATTGTTTCCACACTGGCATAAAGGCTGCCAAACTATGACATTCTTGCCGAATCTTTCGGTGTAAATCGGCTTTGACCGATTCAGGAACATCTTTCCCTTGGGCGAAGTGTAGATCTACGGTCCTGACAGAGTCTGATAACCGAGTTTCCCGTATGTCTCATCATCCATGATTATACAACCCTATTTTTCCCCAGCATTGAGTCTGACAGCTTTCGTCTTCACTAATCTTCGTTTTGGTTGCTTCTGCTTCCGATGGGTTTCCAATCCCAATCTTTTCTTGGCCCTCAGGACATTTGTTGCCAAAGTACCGATCTTCTTCGCCACAACTGATGGATGCTGCTTAAGGTGTTTCGCTGTGAGATCCTTATTCTCGTAGCCATTTCGAAACTTTAAGTGCACAAATATCAGCTTCCACGACACGTACCACAATGAAACTGTTACTCCACGTTTGCTGTACTGCAGCATACATGAAGTAGCTATTTCAGGTGAAATAGGGCATTGATTTCCGATATGTGTGTGATTGAAAATTCGAAATGAAAGTACATGTATAGCCTACGTGGTGGCCATTTGTGGACTCTACAAGGAATCACCTTAAAACGATCTCTTATCTTCCGGTCGATTGCAGGGTCAACGGGGCCAGGTTTTCTTCCACGCCATTACAGCATCTTCGAAAGTGCAACGCTCACACCCTCCTCCTTAGCCAGCTTTCCTAAGGAAAGTCCACTCACGGTACAGAATTTGTGAACAATACGTTTTGTTTGTTCAGCAGTAAGGCCACGCATTTTCACATTTCATCGCAAAATATTAAAAAAAAACTGACAACACGTTTTAGAGTAGGATGTAGCATGAATTTTGAGAAATATTCCACGCATTTTAAAATGACGGTTCATCGTTAGTGTATTTATAATTATCGTAACGCTCTTTAGCTTCGTAAATTAAGCAATTGTCATGCAACCCCAATTCCAATACATCCTGCAAACTGCAATTATTAAGGATAGCAATAAACGACCAACGCTATACCAATAACCTTTGCCGAACAAACAAATCCATCTCAATCCACCCCGATCGGTTCACCATCCGGATCGTGAATGGCAAGGTCGGCGCTGGGTAGGCACTCGCTCGCAACTGAAAACAATCTCCACCGTTCCTTCGCAAAGCACGCCTTAGATCATCTGGTACTGCGTGACACACCTAACTATTTCTTACCATAGATCAACGAACCACCATCAGCGCGCGATCAAGCTAAGCCTAGTAAACCCAAGTCGTAAAACACCGATCAAAATCAGCTGTACGGCAAATTGAAATTCAAGTGCACTCAGCGCATGATTCGAATTTCTAAGAAGCGCCATAACCCTTGGCACATTACGGCGATCACAATCTCCAACGAACCACTCGACAGATCTGCTACACAAGATTGGATTGTTTCCATCCAATTGTACGGTTAGTAGTTGGAAAAAGGGAAAGATCACGACCGGGGCGACAACGCAAGGCGTGCGGAATGGCCTAATCATCTCACATCGATCATCCCGTGTGCTCGTCTCGTCAGTACCATCAATCTCATCAGGGCTTCCAATTGGACAGCGCAGCTCTATATTCGCACCTCTCCACGGCAGATAAGTCATTAAATACGACAGTTTGCGAAGGTTCCCGCAATGCACGCATGGGTTCCATCCCCTGTGGACCAAAACGCGCGTCCGTCGTGACATTGGACTGACCGATTTGAAACTGCAAATCAACGTTTAAATCAAAACCGACAAAAATCAAGTCTTGTCTGGCTCGTTTGCGCTGATGACGCCATGGAACCTTGAGGACCCAAGACCCAAACTGGACCAGCGAGCTGTCCGAGCTAACTTTTGACACACAGCTTGAGTGGGCACTATACTGAGAACGAACTCGCGGTAACGATTGAACAATCAACTACAATGGGATTGTAATCTACTCAGCAAGACTGAGAGACAGTTTTTCAAAGATTGGATTCAAATCATCCGCAGTGCGAGGACGGAGATTATCAGCTTGTCAAGTATCCCGGAAATCACGATCAACTGCATGAGAACGTTGCTCGTGGCTTTTGAGCTGAGGGCGAAATGAAATAATCTGTGGGTGTTTGAAATAATCTGTTTCTATGAAATTTCAAAGCTTAATACATGGAATAGATTTTTTTTTTAATAAGAACCCATAAATTGCTATTGGGTGTTAATAGTATAGATTCAGTCAACAACTGATCAAGTGGCAACGTACGCGTGCCAAACATGAGTCACGATCATCTCCGAGAGATGATCCCTCTAGCATGTGTAATTGAAGGATTATTAATCAAATCAGCTCTTCCTGAACTGTGATTGCCTCCCCCATCATTAGACTAATGTTCAATCAGAGCGAATTTACACTCTCAAAATAGCCCCGAGCGCATCAATCAACAGTAACTGCTAACGATCTTTCTCCTTTATCAACAGTGAAAACTTGTTCCGCACGATGTCCGACCTGGTGGTGAGCGAAGGGTACTCCGCCCTGGGCTACGAATACATCAACGTCGACGATTGCTGGTTGGAGAAGTCGCGAGGACCTCGCGGCGAACTCGTCGCCGATCGACGCCGGTTTCCCAGCGGAATGAAAGCTCTCGCAGATTACGTGCACGCCAAGGGGCTCAAGTTCGGCATCTACGAAGATTATGGTAACTACACCTGTGCCGGATATCCCGGTATTCTGGGCTTCTCTCAGAACGATGCCGCCCAGTTTGCCTCGTGGGACGTGGACTACGTCAAACTGGATGGATGCTACTCACTACCGATCGATATGGATCACGGTTATCCGGAGTTTGGACGACATCTGAATGCCACCGGTCGAGCAATGGTGTACTCCTGCAGTTGGCCCGTGTATCAGATCTACGCCGGAATGAATGTGAGTCGGGTTATCAAATGACACAATTCAACCTTGATGTGAATTTTCAATATTTTTCTTACAGCCAAACTACTCGTCCATCATTCAACATTGCAATCTGTGGAGAAACTACGACGATATTCAGGATTCGTGGGCTTCGCTGGAGAGTATCATCGATTACTACGGAAACAACCAGGACGCGATCATTCCCAATGCCGGTCCAGGGCACTGGAACGATCCAGATATGGTAGGTTTTTTCTTTCTTTTTCACCCGGAATATAACACCCAGAACAAGAAACATCATCGTCACGCTTCTCACGTTTTAGTTGATCATCGGAAACTTTGGCCTGAGCTACGAACAGTCCAAGACGCAGATGGCTCTGTGGGCCATCATGGCGGCCCCGTTGATGATGTCGGTGGATTTGCGAACGATCCGACCGGAGTTCAAGGCAATCCTGCAGAACAAGAAGATCATTGCCGTTGATCAGGATCCGCTTGGCATCCAGGGAAGGAGGATATATAAGGTGAGTGCGGGGAAGAGCGATCCTGGGTATAAACGAAATCCATACTACCATCACTATATCAACAACTCGATATTTTCCGTAACACCGCGCTTTCAATGTCGATATAGGGAGTGTTAACTGTTTCATAAACAAACAATTCAATCAGAACAATATAAACGGTCCAATTCAGTTATATATGCGCCTGTTAGTGTGAGCGTCGAACAAATTTGTGGTCCTCGACAAAGATGTTTTTCATTGTTTTTTTTCAATCTTAGTTTCAGGAATGGGAATGGAGAATGTGTAAAATTTGATAAGCAAATGAATCGTTTCAACACAGACAAAGTTTCACTCCATTTACCATGCGAACTTTAAGGATCTCCCGCTAATCTAGATCACAATCAAATTCGTTCAAATTTGGCACAGTTTTTGGGGCACACAAACGAAATGAGCTGTAGGGGAGCAGGGGTTGTAATGTTGACCAATCCTATTGAGAATTGAGTCGAATTTTAGGAAACTGATAGATCGATGATGATGAAGATGATGATACATTACAAATGTTGAACTTGAAAAACATGAGCTGAACTTATTAACTCATGAAAATCTTCATAAATCAAAATAATTAAAGAACATAAAAAACATTAAAAGAACATTAAAAGACGTCAGCACTAAGAAGAATATACGAGATAACGAACAAAAAAATAATGATATTGATATTCGCAAACAAAATATTTTGGGTTTTAGTACAGGTTCAAACATAGTTTATATCTAGTACAAAGAAAAAAATCAAAACCATACCTCTCTTACTCGATATTTTCTGAAACTTCCTAACTCGATCGATAGCTTAGCTGGCCACATTTCCTATATAAATTTCATCCAATAGTTCTTACGTTAGCACAAAACATAAAAAATAAGTGCTTCTCCGATTTGTATGAAACTTTGCGTAATTGTTTGTTATGGGAAAATATTGACATTTTTGCTTAATTCTTGTAAAATTTAAAAAATGGCATCCTTGGATTTTTTCCAAAAAACTGTAGCATGAAAACGACACTTCTAATCAAATTGATGCCAGAGATAAAGTTGTAGAGAAAAATTATGTCTATTTAGGAAAAATATGCAAACAAAATGTTTTAGTAATTTTAAGTAATAATTCTAAAATAACTTATCAGAGCATAAATATTTCAAAATGTCCTTGTTCGATTTTTTTTTTTGTTAGAACACTTGAATGAAGAATGACATGACATGAAGAACACTTGATTTTTTTTTTAATTTGATAAAACGTTTTTTCATATTATATATACTCATAAAATAATATTTGACACATTTAAATTGTTTTCTGTGAAAAAAAAAACGAAATAGTGTACCTACAAAAAGTTCAGAAAACTTACAAGTAGTTTTGGTTGTACGATTTTTGTCAGTTTTCAAGTGTCGAAATGATCCACTTAAATTCTATAGAAAGCATATTCTTGAAAATCCATGAAGAAAGAGCTGTCGCAAGGCATGTTTTTGAGTAAAAACGCAATTTTCTCGTGCTACAGGTTCCCCCGGGGGTATCCAGTGGTTCCGAGAGCGGCCAATGTGGTCAATGATTCACTTTAAGTCTATAGAAAGCATATTCATGAAAATCCATGAAGAAAGAGCTGTCGCACGGCATATTTTTGAGTAAAATAGCAATTGCCCCTTACTACAGGTTCCCCCCGGGGATATCCCGTGATTCCGAGAGCTGCCAATGTGGTCACTGATCGATTTGAAGTTTAATGAATGCCTATTCATCAAAAACCATGAAGAATGAGCTGTCGCACTGCATGTTTTGGTGTAAATATGCAATTGTCCTCTGCTCCAGGTTTCCCCGGGGACATACTGGATGTTCCGAGAGTGACCAATGTGATGCATTTAAAGTTTATCGAAAGTCTATTGACGAGAAACCATGAAGAAAGAGCTGTCGCACGTCATGTTTTGAGTGATTAAATGCCCGCATTCAGAACCCTTCACCAGAACCGATTCCATGGGAATGGCCATATCTCGGTTGATTATAGGCCGATTTTAGTTCTTGGCATATGATTCGCTTTAGAAATGGTTCTGTCTTTTGTTGTATTCACTAAAAATATATATATTTAACCAGCATCATATATAAAATTTCACCGAAAATTTAGCAAGTTAGACAAGCCCTCCGGAAACCCGGAATATCTCCAGTATCCGGTGACCAGGTTTATTTTCGTGGCTACACCGTAGAACAATATTAGTTTTCCAGTCAAATGCTCTTGGAAGATTTAAAATCGGATCATATTTGACGAAGTTACAACACTCCAAAGTTGACCAAAAATTTGCCTATCCTAGTTATTTTGAGTAAACCCTGTATACCTATATCATACAAGTTTTCATTTTAGATCGTGTAAAGTTATGAGACATTCCATGAAAAATTCCAAATATTGCATGCAACCGTCCATGTTTGTAAGTACATTTCTTACAAGTTGCTAGTTTACATGCAGCAATGTTTGCGTGCATAGATGTTTACATCCCAAGTGTTTGATTGACACAAGTATGTAAAAGCCGAGGCATTCAAACCTAGGTACGATCACGCATGCAAGTGTGCATGTGTGAGTTTCTTTGAATCATCAAATCAACGATTCCGACTCCGATTCCGACTCCGATTCCGACTCCGATTCCGACTCCGATTCCAACTCCGATTCCGACTCCGATTCCGACTCCGATTCCGACTCCGATTCCGACTCCGATTCCGACTCCGATTCCGACTCCGATTCCGAATCCGACTCCGACACGCGCTACCTTATTTTCACCCAAACTGTGTGTTAGACGACCCAACCTTCTAATTTAAATGTGCCCCGTAACGTGAGTAGATCACCTTTTCGTGGTACGTTACGGGATGTAAGATCTACCACCGATTCCTAGTCCTGACTACTTCAAACTAGGGGAACAGGATTTTTTAGTAATCCAAGGAACACATCTTAGTCCTTGTTACTTTTTATGCCTTGTTTGAAAGTGACGAGACTCGGCTTTGTCTACCGAGGATGATCTTGAAACAAGGAAAAAACGAGTTAGTTGTCTTCATCTATGTGATTCCTAATCCAATTTTGACTGGCAAAGGAACGCGCCTTTGGAGGGTGTTTCAACACTCCGAATGGTATAAATAGCGGGACCTTTCAATTAGAGTCGGATCCTTGCGATAAATGCAAGAGTGGCAACTGTAAAAAAATCGAATACTTCATCATTTCTCAATAGTGATGGAGTAATACGACATGCACTAAACTAAGGACACGGGATATACTACAATAGATCAATTTACTGGTCACAGTAGTGTTAGGTCCCGAACAAAGGAAAAAAAATGTAATGTATTCATTTTCATTATTATTATAACTATTATTATGTTCAATTACCAATTGTATCTACCACAGAACGAAAAAAAATCGTTACCGATAGAAATAGATAAGATTGACTCTGCCGTAATTTGCTGTGATGTAAGGGGCTCGCTGGCCAAGTGGCGACCGTTTTTGCTTATTGTATCACTAATTATTTATTCCCGCTTCCTCATGCCTAGTTTTCTGCATTGAGCATTATCTAGGAGTTACTTAGCAACAAACTTAGATGAAATTGTAACTCGACAACTCATATATTAAATAGATTCGACTTGTTTGCAAAAAGTTACACTCAATTCTGTTTTTGCGCAATTTTGATTTTTTTTCGATGATTTCAATACCCCGCTATATTTTTCTCTGATTTTTTTAAATTTTTTTTAAACAAGTTACAGTTGGTTCAAATTTGAAATCAAACGATCAATCTATGGGTCACGACCCACCGGTAGGTAAAGGGCTGCTTCCTGGTAGGTCGCAGAAATTCTGTTTTTATAATGCCGTATAAAATGTATTTGGGCTCAAAATAATCATAATACAAATTAAGATACAATAGTATCCTATTGATTTTTATTTTTTGTCCATGTCAAGGCCATTTTGGCATTTTCAAGCCAGTTTGGAAAGCTTTGGCCATTTCGACCTATTTGGGCCATTTTAGGCATAATGGGACCATTTCAACGTTTTCGATATTTTTTTACCAAAGTCTCAACAGCTGAATGTTCGGTAAAACTTTAACCTTCATTTTAAAGCATATTTTGCTAAAAAATAATTTCAAAACACTTTCAATCTTGTTCAAATGATCAAACAAATTAATCATTTTGTCAAGCTTCTACATTCATGTTTCATCAGATGTCACTGCTGTTGTTGGTGGTGGCATCTATCGGAAACTACACATAATCTGTTTTCGGATAATTGTTCACAAAGGACACTGCAGTCCGTCCTTCTTTACACATTCTGCACTCAAAATAGCTCACCCCTCCAGCCAAATTATATGAATGGGGCGGGCAGAAAGTATCGTTTGTGCAGAATATGTAAAAAAAAGCAGGGACTTCGAATGTTAATCTAAATGCTTATATAGAAGTACCAGGCATGTTTTGTAGTGTCAGGTACTCTATTTTGTAATCTGTGAAAGGGAAATCACAAATCTAGTGTTATAAAAATACATGGTATGTTGAGAGATTGAGCTCGTGACTCGTGAGAGCTAATTTTCTTTCACAAATTTGAATTTTTTGGCTCCCTGGGGACTGGTAGTAAAACAGGTAAAGCTGTATGGGGAAAATCATTTTTATTTAACTGTAGCTTGTTTAACAATAATTTCCGGAAAAAACTGTATGACAAAGTCCCTGACTAATTTATTTAGGTTGCCGTTCACTTTTTTTGACCTGAATACACCGAAAGCGAATTATTCCCACTTCTCTCAAATTCTATATGAGGATTTTTATCACTTCCTACCAACGGAACAGCGCCATCTCTGTGGAAAATGGTCAGACGATATGATATATTGAAGTAAATATTTTGTTTTAAAGTAGCTTAAAACAATTAAATTGAATTGCTTAAATTTTACCGAATAATTCAGCTGTTGAGATTTCGGTATAAATTACCGAAGTCGACTAAGTGTGTAGACTGATGTAAGAGCTTTCGTTATAAAGATTATTATAAGAGTTGTCAGGCATCTTTTGCTGATGTTGCCGCGGGTATTTTGGATTGTCCAGGTACCGGGTTCAAGCTTCAGTTGGTTGCGATGGCTCTTCTTTTTCTTCTACCCCTGAATAGATAGTGCAAATAAAGGCGTCTATGTGAAGTTTTGCTGTACCTGTTGTGGACATTGGTACATCCTTTTCCTTAAACTTGTTGAGGATGCATTGTCTTGCTTGAGGCAAGTTATCTTCTTAAAGTACTGATCTTCAACTTCATCTTTCGAACATAAAGGGTACCATTACGGAGCATTACATTTGATCAAATTATTTGCAGATCTATTTGTCCAACGTTCCCAGTTGGGTGAGGGGTAGTTTAATTTAGTTTTCTTCATTAAAGAGGCTTTAAGCCTTGATCTGGTTCACCTTGTATCCAATATTGAAGGGTCACGAGCTTATGGAATTTCGCAATTGATAAAGGCTTGCGAACCGCTGTGCTAAATGGTTATTAGTGGTTAATAGCTTTCTGCACAGATGTCGAATCGACAATTTTCGACTCGGCAAAGTTTTTTTTTCAGAATGTTTTCCCCAATCTGCATTTCAGGAATGATGAAAATATTAAGCAATGTGTCAACTTTTGACAGGCATTTTTGCATTTAAAATCACATTCATACAAGTTTAAATTTAAAAAAGAGCACTAGAGAGTAGGAGGCCATATGAGATGATATGTATAAGATATCCGCACACTAATATTTTGTTTTCGTTTTCGGTCAATTTTACCGAAATCAGAACAGCTGAACGTTCGGTAAAACTTTGACCTTCATTTTAAAGGCTATTTAATTTGAAAATAATTTCAAAACATGTTCAACCTTGCTTAAATGATCAAATCTTGTCATTTTAGTGGAGATTTATTATCAACGTAGCTGAAAAGCAATTGAATAGAATAGCATAAATTTTACCAAATGGTTCAGCTGTTCAGATTTCGGTAAAAATGACCGAAGTCGGCTAAAATTTCTAAGTTTGCATAGCACTCAATTTCATGGTAATTCATAGCAGGTTACCTTTCATGTGTTCTTACATTTTTTTCGCATCGGACACGTCTTATGGATATACATACCAAGCTCATGATGCTCTAGGTGTCACTCAAAAAATATTTTAATTTTAAATTGTGAATACTGCTGTTGGTGGAGTGTGAATTAAAACTGTCCAGTACACTGCGTACTATACGTAGTACTACGTTCTCATGCGAACAGTTTTAAAAAGTATTACAATTTCCGACTGAAATACAAACACACCTATAGGGTTTTATACCTTGACTGTTAGTTAATCCGTTTGGCAAATTCGGTATTTTTTTGTTTTAAAATCCTGGAAAAATAAGGATAAAGCTGCTGAAGAAATTACCCGAGGGCCACCGTCCATCAATGTTGAACACTGATTAGGACGTGTATACAATTGGATAAACTCGAAGACATCAAATCATATCATGATATATTGCCCTCGATAAGCTACAACCAGTAAAATGATCGCCAAATGCTTACTTACGTTTGTAAAGATCGAAAAATCATTGGATAACTACTTTGATTTTCATCAAAAAGTCACCCAAACAGAGAAGCAAAGGTTTCTAAGTTGCTTGTTGCTCCCTGCGCAATTTAACATTCCTAGAACATCGATTGATTTTTGTGGCTAAAAATCTCCTTAAAAAAAGATAACATTTTTGAACAAAATTGAGGTTTAGCTAATTGTACAACAAACGCTATCAGTTTCTGTGAACGTCTTCATTTTCGAACATGTTAACCAAATAATGGTCTTCAAACTCGCCGCACTGAAATCCAAATAATTTCACATTCTTGAGTCAGAGATTGCGGAACAATTCACAAATGATAGGATCATCTTAAATCGTATCTATGAAATGTTTGAGAAACAAATATCCTTGGAGGATTTGGGACCTCTCTTTGAGGGTGTCCACAAATATCGTGGAAAAAAAGTGTATGGTTGATTGTCCACGCAATCGGAGGAATTTTTCGGATGTTTGATATGACCATTTATAATATCATTCTCACGAGTTTGATTTTCCTTTCCTTCACAGCACAAGGGCATCGAAATCTGGTCCCGTCCGATTACACCCATCTACCAGACGTTTTACTCGTACGCCATTGCCTTCGTGAACCGAAGAACCGACGGAACACCTTCGGACGTTGCCGTCACGCTGCGTGAACTGGGTCTGATCTCGCCCACTGGATACAGAGTGGAGGTATGTTTGAAATCAATGATTCATTTTAAAAACAATTCTTACTCATAATCAAATCCTCCGCAGGACCTCTACGAGGAAGTCGACTACGGAATACTGAGCCCACAGACCAAGATCAAGGTTAAGGTCAACCCATCCGGTGTTGTGATCCTCCGCGCCGATGTCCAACCGGAACGATTCTCCAAGAGACCGTACAATCCCATCTTCTACCGTTATCCCAACTAAAGCCACCTCGGGAAAGCCTTTTCCACCTTTTCGAGCCAACCAGCCAGCCGTGTGATCCCACTTATTTTAGAAAACAAAAAGAAACAAAAGTTTTAAGACGAAGAAAAAACTCTACAACCTAGCATCTAAGTCTGATTCCCAAGCAAAGTGTTGAACTGTGCGCACTCTACAAGTCTACCACGTGAAAACTGACAACTTTTACAGAAAAAGTCGATCTGAAAGGATGATATGACGTATCTTTAAATAGAATCATTATACAATACAATAGGAGATCGTGAGCGTGTAGATAGCAGCGATAATAGACATTTAACCTTAATGCAATTTGTATATCTAAATTGAAGCAATTGTACAAATGATGATTACCGGCTCGTTTTAGAGGGGCCTCACCCATCTCTACTTCGCGATTGACGATAAGAAATAATCTCAAAAAAGTCGAAGAACAAACATCAGGAGAGAAAATACTTGAAAGATAATGTGCCAGCTCTACCAGAACGAAATGAATTCCCTATGGAACGCGCAAATGCACGGGTGGGTAGTGGAAGTAGTAGCAAAAGGTGCTCCGTAAGGAATTCATTAAAATATGGTGATATTTATTATACAAACAAAACCACACAGTCTGTTGTCTTCATTTCACTTTGTATTTCGCGATACGCAGGTAGTTAAACACGCAAGAATGAAGACTGGTGGAGCCAACTAGACAGCCTACCGAGAACGAGCTCGTTTCATTTGTTTTCAAATTTCTAATCTACGGACATTGCCAAAACAGCTTGATCAAGCTAGAGTCTTCTCTACTGTGTAGCCAGCAGAAGTGCGAACCAACGTAAAGCAGTTAAAAACTGTTAGAAAAAGGAAATAAATTTAAACCCAACATAAACGAAACCGCTTTCATACACACTACACTAGCGCAAAGATCGGTGTTAATGGTGTAGAAAGCATAAAACTATTCAGTTATCAAGAGGAGCGCTAAAAGGGGTTTGGATGAAGTGCCAAACCGCGGAACAGCGACCGGAACCGAACTTTTTATTTCCCTTATTTTTTCAATTGAATTCCAGGAGGACCTCAAACCACACACACACAAAAACAGCAACGGAGCATAAACAACAAAGCGTAGATTCCAAATTGGTTTTGCCTGTTTATGTAATTTATTTTTATCCTAGTGTTTAAGCGATATGAAATTAAATAAAATGGTAATGAAAAAGTGATTCGCTGTCAGGTGCACCAGGAGAGAATCAGTTAATATCACATTTACTTATGCTAAGGAACCATCCGGAAATTACGTAGCATTTTACCTCATTCAATCATTCTTTTGAGGTTGGCATTTTTGGTATTAAAAATTCGTTGCAAGCATTTTCCGTTGAGCGATAGATGACGAGTTTATATCTGTATAAGCTCGAGATAATACGGCAATCTCGAATTATCCTCGATTTTCCTAAGCATTTCGGCATATTAGCATAAGAGTCCGGTATATTAGAGAAAATCTCGGATTTTCAAAAGAACTCATTCAAAACAAAATCTGCTCTCACCGCTCTCACACACTAATATGCACGAGTATCAAATGTAATTTTTCTGTTTATGTTTGCGGAATCCAATTTGCTGATCGCCGCAGCTGTTCCGACCGCAGCTACCAGAAAGTTTGTTACGGCTTGCTTCCAATCGGAACGTTCTTCCGCGGGTTGCATTGTTTTTCATCATCTTCATCATCTTACTGTATAATCCGATCGGGTACCACAAATAATTTCGGAATAACATTCTTATTCGGGAGGAAACAGCAAGTGATTGAAAGTATCGACAAGAATATAGAAGCCAACAACAGGCTTTTCCGCAACATAGGGTAAATTATGGCTTCGGCACCCATTGACTGTTTTCGGCAACCGAAATTGAAACGTTAATTTCACTGTATTTTCCCATCAAAACTCTTCGCTGAATGTATTAAGCCGATTCCTTACCTTTTCAGCTTCAATCTGATTACATTTTTACGACTGTGCAATCCTGTTCTGCCATATTTTTCTTTAAATGAAATATACACACTACAAAATACGGCTGATTTCGAGTTGCCGATAATAGAACAGCTGGTTAACACGCAGTTCAAATGGAAAGGGTGCCGAAGAAAAAGAGACTGCCGACAATAGTCACACTCACCTGAGAAGTTTGGAGCGTTGTAAAAACATGTTCAACCCGTTTTGATCAATTCTGGCGATTGGAATTGGTAGAACAGCAAGCAGCAGATAAATGTCAACAAACAAACTGTCATATATGTGTGTGACGCTGAGAAATCGCTAATAGAAGTTCGGACGCTGCTTAGATTGACGAGAATACGTAAATTCCCCTATGTCATATATGTTTCCCAAGAAACTTGTTGCCTATTCGGGATGGATATTGCTTCTGATTATGCTGCTCTTCTGGATAAACTTCTCGTAGGAAGATCTCGGAATTAATCGTTAGTAGTTCTCAGAATTTCTCGTTGGAAGTTCTCTGCATTTCTATTCGGGAGTTCTCTGAACTTCTCGTCAGAAATTTCACATCGAAAGTTCTCTGAATTTTCTGTCGGATGTTCTCAGAACCTCTCTGAACTTCTCCTCGGAAGCTTTGAACTTCTTATCTGAAACCCTTCCTGACAGTTCTCTAAACGGATCATCGGAAGTCCTCTGAACTTCTTGTCGGAAGTTCGGATGTCGGAACTTCTCCTCGGAAGTTCTCTGAACGTACTATGAAATCTTGTTAGAAGTACTAAGACCTACTTGTCGGAAGTTCTCTGGACTTCTTGTCGGAAGATTTCTGAGTAATGCACTAAAATCTGGTGAAGAGTGTAGCTAGTAATTTGCTTCAATCTATAGTATATTTTGTTTAATTTTGTTGATTTTTAAAATTTAATTAAATTGCATATTTCATACAAAAATAATAATTTATTTGCATCACTTTTGATAAATTTGCACATATAAACTTTTTTCCTAAGTCCAGTCGTTCTCCAGTTAATACGAATACAAAAAATAAAAATTATTAATTTTCAACGTTGGAAAAACTACGAATCGTGCTGAATCCGGGATCTAACAAGGGAAGGTCAGTATAGTGTCCCCTGAGTTTTCAATGCCCAAAACTTCTGAGGGTAAAATTTGATAATATTCAATAATTATTAAAAACTACATTATATTCATAAATAGGAATAATTACTCAAATAACCATCAAGCCCCGCCTCATAACCACCCTTTTAATAATATAATACCCCGTACAGACTATGGCTTATATCATGTAATATACAGGGTGCGTGACAAATTTTTGCAGTAAATTTCAAATAGTAATTTCTTATGCTTGTGCATCATGATTTAGATATATTTGGCAGCACTGGATAGCTTATATTTACTGTTAGGTGTAAGATTTAAACAAACAATGTTGAGTAAACGTAAAGATGTTGAAACAAGAGAGCAATCTGTCAGCCGTTGTCGCTTTGTTGCGCGCCGGAGTATGCATGAAAGAAATAATTCGGTCGGTAAATGTGTCTGAAAGAACAGTGTATAATATTAAAAAAGGCTTGGGAAAGTGATAAGACGGAGCACCTGCTCATACTGCTAATAAAGCACAGAAATGGCTTACGGAAAATATTTCGTAAATTTGGGAGGAAGAAATTTGGCCCCCAAGCAGTCCCGATATCAAGGCAGTGATGACATCTATGGATCTAAACATTTTAAAACGTGCATACTGCAGTTTCCGGAAGCGTCTAACTACAGTCGTCGAAAGGGAAGGCAATTTTTTTGAATAAATTTACTTACAACTTCCATATGTTGCGAAAGAAAATAAATCGCACAAAATTCATTGCTAGAATAACTAACTGGTGTATTTTTTTCTCAAATATGCCATTTACTGCAAAAATTCGTCACGCACCCTGTAGGATGTCTTGCAATGAGCACTCATACATCTAGTTTTCAATGGAAATCCTATGTATGAGTGCTCATTGCAAGACAGCCTATATTACATGATATAAGCCATAGTCTGTCCAGGGTATAAGGTTAATATAGAGCTTGTATCGTTAGTTTCTTTTGATGATGGCAATGCTTCACGAGAGGCGATATGGCAATGTATATTAAAAGGAACTGCTGGTGTCATCTATTTATTTATTTATTTATTTATTTCGTCAACCAACGTAGACTAGTACAACTAATACAGTTTTGGTTTTCTTAAATATATATTTATATAAAAAAAAGTAGTGTCAGCTTTCTTGTCTTTTCTTTTATGAGTTGTTATTTCTTATGGAATAAAAATATTGCTTTACTTTATGCCGAGACATTGTAAAGTCAATGGTTTCGCAGTGTTTATTGTAAGAGGCCATCACGCGGTTTAATGGCCCATATTTTGCATAATTTGTGCGATGATGTTTTATGGCAAATAAATTTCGATTTCGGAGTTGCCGAGTGGGTGCATGGAAATTTAATTTTGATAAAAGTTCTGTTGAGTCAATTCGCTGCGAAACGATATCATTTACAAATGAAACCATTGCATATTCACGACGCTCTTTTAATGTTTGTATGTTTATAAGCATGCAGCGTGCTTCATATGATGGAAGAGGAAATGAAGTCCAACCTAATTTACGAAGAGCGTATAATAGAAATTGTTTTTGTACTGATTCTAATCTTTCTTCGTGCGTGATTGAAAATGGAGACCATACAATGCTGCAATATTCCAGTATTGACCTCACATAGGCAATATATAGTGTTTTAATTGTGTAAGGGTCCTGAAAGTTATAGCAAAAGCGCTTGATAAAGCCTAGCATGTTATTTGCCCTGTGAATAATTGTATTGTAATGGTCTATAAAAGTTAGCTTAGAGTCTAAGATAATTCCTAAATCCCTAACTCTTTCACATTTGTCTACAGTTGCCATCTTGCACGGGTGTAGCCAGGTTTCGAACTAGGAAGGAGCGAAAAAAAATACTATGGAAAATTTGACCGAATGCCATTTCACCGAACGCCGTTTCACCGAAAACCTTTGTGTTGCTGAGTTTAGGGGGGCAGTTGTCCACCCCCCCCCCCGCCCCCTCTGGCTATGCCTATGCATCTTTGTAATTATCATTATCAGTGATGGTGTCTCTTCACCGATGGTAGACACGAAGCGACTGCTGCCAGCCGTTATGGAATTTCGATTACGTTCGGGTGTAAAGCAAAAGTCATGAAACTCAATCTCACCACAGTTTGATGAGATTTGCAGCTGGTGAATTTTGTTAGTTCTTGATCTTTGGAGGGATTTGATTTTTTTTTTATATTTACCCAACAATGATCAATATCTAATAAGAAAACATTTTATTGGCTTTAGTGTTTTCCACAGGCAATATGGAGAATAAAGACATACATATTTAAATTTATGAATACGTACAATGAAGTTTAAAAAAATATTACCCTTTAAAGTGAAAGTTAATGCTTTTTGGTTGGTTTTGACTCCACACTCGTTCGATCCACACCCAAATTAAAAATATCTATGAAAAGGCTATCCAGTTTGCAGAACAGATTGCCTGCAAAAAGTGCATTCCCTAACACAGATTTCTTATTCAATCACCGTGTCCGATTGGTCGTCACCAGCAGCTGCAGCAGCAGTGTTTTTGGCGCGTGGTGTTGAACATTGTTCTCCAGTACAACGAAAGGCTGCCCGCAAGCAGCGTGCTGCAGCCCACATGAGCGTCTATTCACCGAAGAAGGAGGAAGAAGCCGCACCGCTACTGATCGGATTCAGTAGCTCTTCGTGAGTTGCTGTCGGCCATCTATGCCAAGCGCGTCACCCTTGTTCCAAACAACATATTGCTCGCCAGTCTCATCTGTGTTGAACACCCTAATAGCTCTGCATTACTCAACCATCACGACATAACGATCCATTTCAGGACCACCATTAATTTGTTAGAGTATTTTCTGGACATTTGTCAAGGTCATCAATCGGATGTCAGTTTTCATAAGTTTAAATCTTACATATCATGTTAGAATGCGAAATGAGCAACAAATTATACAAGTTGTTTGAAATTTCGTAAACATTACGTGCTGCTTCGAATTTATTATTCATAAATTATAATATATTGCATTTCTAGAACAGAACTTCATACTTTTTTTTCGTTTGATTTGTTTTCCACCGATCTTGTTTTCCGTGCTGAGCACTAATGCTACCAACGCCAGGGAGGCAGCTCCCACACCTGGACCCTCTCTATCGACCCATCAACTCATGGACCGGGGA